TACTACCTAATAATTTTATCACTTTCGTTTTCCCACAATGTTAACATAAATTGTATTTTAATGTTTCCTGCTTTCTTTTAAAACGAAAACTAAGTACATCGACTACAAATGTCCACTAGTTTTTTATTCGCAAAATATCATCTTATGTAGTTAATGCTTTATTTTCATGAAGGTAGGTATAATTACAATAACTACAAGCGTAGGTGCAATAGACAGACGCAGGCACCTTTATAAACATAGAGTGTAAATTAGAATTGAGATTATTGACGCTTACACCATGTGTTAAGGGTACTACATAACTGATATAAATATGTAAATATATTTTTTTACCAAACAATTCATACTTTTGAATATAGATGTTTACACCGTGCGAGAAATCTAACCCGTGGCCATCGGAAGTAAAGCATAGAATTTTATTATATTAGGTAGAACTTATACTGTAATATTTATAAATTCAGTATCAATACTGAAATAGAACTATATAATAACATAAGAACAAGTACATCTACTTAACTTTAAGTTTTTCACCTCACAAATTGAGTAGCCAATTTACTCACCAAAATGTTTCTGCTCTAGTGATATAGTAACGGAAAATAATAACACATACTGGTATTGTTATAAACTAGGAGAATGACATCGATGGGGTCAGTTAACTTTAGTTAAAGTTTGTTACTCTACAGTATTTTTGCACTTACATACAAACTCAATCTCAAATAAATACTAACTGATTATGGGAAACAGTAGGCAACTATTTCATTTAAACTATGTAATTAGAATATTTGTTATTTATATGCATATAACGTAATTGTAACATAATTTTGTTACCTAAAGAGCTTACTTTCTTTATAAAAAATAATAAAAACTAAATTAACATATTAAGTATTTAAGGTAATAATATAATACAATAACTAATTAAACTTGATGAAATTTTGTACATATGATACGAATACTCAGTCCTCCAGAATACATGGGTGGTACCACGGACGGCACATGATAACGTGTTGTTCACGTATATGTTATGTATATGCAACGGTTACTATATACCACCAGGTAGACCATCATCTAGTTTGTCACATAAGAAAAGATTATCTGTGGCAATTTATTTTTAGTCTGACTCTTCGGTGATGTTTATTTCCTGAGAAAAATTCAAAGGGGCAGCGGTATACAGGCTCCTGCCGAGTTGGGTTTATATATATGTATAGTTAAAAGTGGGCATGTTAAGTATTCACAATATGAACAACATTGGACTTACCTAACCATATCTCTGACTACCCCATCATCATCATTATCAGTATAGTCAAAATTTATTTTATTTCAAAAGTGCATATAGATAATTAAACTCTAGTACATACTTTAAACGTACGTAACTTTAAACATTGGATAGATTTCAACCTAATTGAATTCATACATATCAAGGCTTAAATTGTAACTGTAATTTGTTTTGCTTTTTGCAACTGATTGGTTTTTTCTAGTACAGCCAATTAAGATATGAATGCTTGTAATTAAGGTTAATTATGATATCTCTGTGAGGCTTTCAATTTACGCTTATCCGAAGAAATAGATAGCAGGTTATAATGGACCAATGTGGGGTTGAGGACCGACCTTGTCGGGCTCCAGGCCTTTGTAACTTGATCCAAGCTTTTTTTATACATCCTGTTTACTCGGTAGCTGACACTTTCTGACTCAGTGCATAAATTTAGTAATATATATTTAAATTTTGACGTGTATTATTAGAATTATCTACATAATACAGATATTATTGAGGAATGATACATGCTTAGTATTTTTTTCTATAGAGCATTAGCTTTTTTATATTCCCTAGAGCTTTAGATAAACGTCACAGATAAGATAATATATAAACGTCTTACTTTTTAACGAATATATTTTTAAGGCGAGTGATTAAATTATTATATCAGATTAAATATTGATAAAGTAAGTCCTAATCAACAAAAAACAATAATTTTGACATATACATACGTACCCTCTATAAAGGGTTCTTAAAGAATAGAGCTTATTTATGTAATTGGAATGGTAAACAAACTGACAATCCACCTGATGGTAAGAGGTAACTGTCGTCTACATAATATGCAGTACTAGGGAACAGACGGTAACTATTATCTACTAACTGAACGGTAGAGAAAAAAATAATTAGAATGTAAAAACTTGACGTTCATAAGCGGCTAATATGTAATGCTACATGAATAAATGATTTTTTAATTTAAATTTGAATTTGAACTACTGACACCATGGTCTCATCTGACACCCACGATACCACTCATGCATTGCCATTTCAGAGGACCAAGATGTCATGCCTAATCTGTACCCAACAAAAAATAATACAGTAGCAAGCTTCTGACGATTGAAACAGGTGACAACAAGGACTAATACTTAGACGATTTTTTAGTCTACTCCTGGAAAGAATTACTAATATAATAGACCCATTTTACAACTTTACAATACTGAAGAAAATATTGATATTTGAAATAGAAATAAAACAGCTCTTTTAATTTTGAAATTGAATCAGGAACTCAAATCATTATTCAAGATGAAATACACAATTTAACGTTAGATTTATACTGTGAATATGCACTTCAAGGAAATGAACGTGTCAATTTGATCTTGATATAAATCTCATCTACATGGAGATTTGCATGTTAAGTGATAAATTATAAACTCGGACAAATTTGTCACATGTATTTACCTATACGCGATAGTAATTCTTGTCATTTTTAAGAGCAAAAGGATATACAAATGTATGAATATATGATCGTACCTATGTGTAGGTAGGTGTTTATTTAATAATAATAATATATCAGAACAATTCACACAGCGCTATCTAGTCCCAAGTCATGCAGAACAATTTTTGCACCGATTTGCGAAATTCTTTCACTATTTCAGAGTAATCTAGACTGTTATGTTAATGCTTTTCCCCGTATGGGAATCAGCTAGTATTTCTGACAAAAAGGACGTTGCCTTACTACTGCTATTATATAATTCCTTCATAAAAACATCAACAGATTTATTCTTCCCGCTTAATCGTATCACGGTAATGAAAGGTGAGATTAATTATAGTGGCCTGACAGCGGGTGAGCAGGTGTGAAAGCTTTGATTAAGGTGCCATTTATAAATTATCGAAGCTCACTCTTATAAATTGCACATCAGATAACAAATTTAAAACTTTTTCGCGATAGATATTTACCATTTTTTATAAGATACCGATATTTCAAAGATACTGTAACTTATAATACAGTGATATATATGCGTCGATTTATATGAATGCTAATGCTAGCGCTAGGTTATCCGCGAATTCGTCCGCGTGAAATTTAACTATTTTTATATTATATAATTTAAAAATAAATTGATATAGGATAAGTTACTCCTCATTAGCTATCTGCGAAGGAAGGTTCCATCAAAATCAATCCAGTCATTTCAAAGATTAATAGACAGAAACACTAATATTTTTAAAATTACGTTTTTAATGTAACCAATATTAGTAACCAATTAGTGAAAAGCTGTTAGTTTAATATTACAAACAGACAATTTTATTTATTTATTATGACATGTAGGTAAAATACTAGTAAGTTATTTAGATTGTTACTTGCGATTTCGCTTTTTTTGACATAAAGGACAGCCTATTCTTATATAGAAAGTATATATTTTATATAAAACTTTTGTCTGCCTGTATGTTTATTCTTGTAAATCTCGGAAATGACTGTACCGATTTTGACAGGATATTCTCTCGCAGTTAGTTAATGCTACAAGATTTTCAGTTGTTTAGATACTAACACCACTTATCAAAAAGAATTGTGATAAGTAAATATTGAATAAAATAAATATATACACAGTTGAAAACTTGCTTCATACTTGAATATATTATTTTCGACGTACTGAAACAAAAAGATAATAACAGTGTAAGGCTCCTTTGAATAATTACTCTAATCGTTTTCAACTGCATAATACATTTTTAACGCTCATTCAGTTGGCAGCTGGGTGATGATTTATGGAATTACACGCCTGCAGCTACGTCACACGATAATTCATTCTTCGTCACATTGTGACATAAAATATTGCATTTATCTCACATTACGCAATTATACAGATATGCATTTATAGTTTTTGTATAAAGAAAACAATTAAAATCTATTGTATACTTTTTGTTTAAAATCGTAATTTTAAAGTCATTTTTATTCCAGTTACCACAGTGGTAGCATCTGATGGTAAACGGTCTCTACAGGCTACTTTGAAGGTTTAGAAAAAATGCTTATACTTAAGTTGATATTTAATAAATTGCTTTTAATAAATTGCTTTTATTTCGTAATAGAACATATATTAATTATATTGAATAGAGATATTGTCCCATACATGCGCTATGTTAATGTAGGTATATTTCGTTTAGGAAATAAATGAAAATTTAATTTAAGTTATAAGCAATAAGAATATAAAGCGTATCTATTATATTTATACTTTATAGATGTACTTTAAAATAAAAGTATAAACATAACATGATATATGTGATATGAAAAAAATTAAAATATTATCTTTGCCGAAGTTTCTAAAATAACATCTATTTAGTAAACTAGGTAACTATGTGAATGTTCACACATTTTTCGTGTGATCAAGTTTTTTATTCTATTAATGAGTCGCCATCCGTCTTGTATGAAATTTCAACTTTCTTGCAACGGATTGTATGATAAACAGTAAACACTGTAATTGAATGATGTGAAGATTAAACAATGTCGCATTTGGTGTTAATCTTTCTTTTTCTTTTAATGGAAACGAATTTAAATGTAAATCTATCTATATTACAATAAAAATCCATATACTTAATCTGTATAGTATTTTAAATACATAGAATCAAATATTTTTTTATATTATACATTTTTTATATTTTTTTAATTTGGATTCAACATATATTTTATTTGGTGTTTATACTTTATACTATAATTGTGTATCTATAACTTCTGTGTCTTATCTAATATAGTGTTTTTCTTTCTTTTCAGATAATCAAGATGGATTTATCAATAACTTTCGTGCTCCTAGTTCTCATATGCCACGTCCATAGTGCACCCAACTCTAGAAGGTCACGAGCGGCTGGTGTATCACTAGAAGAAACTAACAGTCGCCAAAGCAAACTTGAAGAGAAATTCAAAGAGTCCAGCACAACAGCATCACCAGCACCCAGTAACAGAAAAAATAAAGCGCTTAATCTATTCGGTTACTTCCCCTCATTTCTATCTTCTGGTTTAGATTATTCTGAAGACGATGACGACGACGTAACCTTTTCTGTAAATGATGATCATTTCGATGATGAAGATCTATCACGGACGATACCTTCGAGACGCCGACAGCAGAATAAGAAGAAAAACGGAAATGGAGACTATCAAAATGACAACATTAATTCCTTGCAGTATGATAATTCACCGATATTCTATATCAGACTGCCTCCAACACCATATATGTTTGTGCCTGGTTTAGGCTACGTGTCGCAACCTCCCAGCATGGGACCACCAATGGGTCCTATGATGCCTCCAGGTGTCCCTCCTGTGGCTGATCCATTCATTAATTTACCTATAGACTTTATATCGAATGGAAAACCTACTGGCGTCTACCAATGGAATGGTGGGGCTGGTTATCCACAAGTGCCTCAAATGCCCCAGTTGCCACCAGTTGACTTCGGATATGGTGGACCACAGCCTATGATCCCTTCGGTACCTCGACCAGGATATAATACACCTTCGTATTCTAAGCCCAAACCTAAACCTACTCCGAGTAACTCCAAAGTTACGAACCTGAAAGGTCCTTACGTTTTTAATGGCAAACCTAATGATAACGTATATGTTTTAAGGGACACATATAACTCAATATACTCGGATGCCCTTCAAAATTTCTATCCTTAAGTTGGGCATCGTTACTTTTAATTAATATGTGGCTCGTATCGAGCTGTTGTAATTAAGAACTTTGGTGATTCAGAAACGTTTTCTATAAAGATAGCACGCACACTGACATGAACATAGAGCATAGTTTCAATATTTTATTTTTATATAGATTTGATTATTTGCATAATGCCATAAAAAAGTAATTTACGCAGACATCAACGATCAATATTTTTTTGAATCAACTATTTGTGTTAATATTTTATATTCATCAACAACTAAATTAATTACAAACTTATTTTCTTATTTCATGAAAAATTGTAAATTTTTAGTTTGCCTATTTTGAAGTATAGTTATCATTGCAAATGTAATTAACCATAGGCATAATTTTTGTTGTTATTCCAAATTATGCCTCGTTACGATTTACTTACGCAGAAATTTTTAACACAATATATTTTTAAAGCAATAATCTCTCGATAAGAATATTACATTATTATTTTACGCTTTCATTTATTTACGAGTTTATTTTAAATTACTAGATTTAATAGGTCCATATAAGTAAATTGTTTTTAAATTATTTAAAATATTACTGTAGAATTAAGTACGAATCTACACAAGAGGTCTTGTAAATGAAAAAAGAAATCAGATATAACTTTACATTTTATTTTTAATATAAAGTCTTAAACTTTATTTCATAATAAAATAGATAAAAACAATGAACATTGTATTGTATTAGTTTCAAACGATACGACTAATATAGTTATGAAATAGACTAACAGAGTAGAGTGTGATTATTTTACATTATTACGAATATAAAAATACTCGACTAATTTTATTTTTATACGTATTATTAAACAATAAGTAAGTAGTAAGTGATCAGTTGACAATTTTTTTTATGAAGTAGTGTTTTCAGTCAATACCTACTAGCTAGTTGTCACGAGTTAATATGTTAAATTAAGGATATTTATTTTTTTAATTAATTTATTATTGAATAATAGCTTACTTTCTAAATGTACGTACAAATTTGTAAAAATAAATCCGTCCTCAATTTTTAATGAATTCTAAATTATAATTTGTAACGTAAAATAGGCATAATTGTAAACACAAGTAGGTAGGTACGTATAAATAATTTTACATGTAAATAATTAGGTAGATACTAATTGTACTTATCTAAATTATTTATCGGTTTCTGATTTAAGTTTAACTTAAACTCATTGGTATCGCTTGAAGATTATAAAAATGTAGCTGCTTATTGAAAACAGAATTATACCTACAGTTAAATCAGAAACCGGTCTTTTAAGACTAGAAAACCGTAAAATTTAAATACCTAATAATAATGATGCTTTTTTTCATCAGTTCCACATATTGCTTAAATTTAACTAAAAAATAAATTGTATCTAGTATAAAAATGTTTATTCTAAGTCTCTCAGTCTTGGTAATATGATTAATGCACTTTGCCTTATCGATGATATTATACTAATAGTAGTTAATAAAAATCTATGCATAATTAATTAATATTCTATAGGAATACAATGGTGCTGCATCACGATATGTATTGTAGGTACATGTAATCCTCGCCTTAGAGAATACGAACTGCTGAATATCCATCGTCATATACAAACATCATTGCATGCAAAATTTATTGCATCTACATCGTATATAACAAAATATATTCCATAAGAATAGATGTGCATGCCTAATGGTATGCCTCTGTACGTATACCCTGTAATTTCACTGCCATTATCTCACCTTTCAAACTGAACACGTCCGTAGAAGCAAGCTGCTTGGCAACAGAAATATCTAAGTGTATTTAACAAAAAAATAGAATGTAGATAATTATGAAAAGTACCTTATACTTTGAATACAGAACAAAGTATCTTCAGTTAGATATTTTTATCTTAAAATATGTTAGAAATGTAATATTTATTGAGTAAACTACTACCTACAGATTTTTGTAGTTGATTCTAAATTCTGATATAAAAGTGTTCCCCAAACGTTTTAGTGCCTTAGCCTTTATAAAATTCTTATGCAATCTGAGTTACTATCTTAGATAATATTCTTTATACTTTGTTTTCCAGTTAAGTTTATAGAATATTTCTTTTAATTAAAAGCATTGCCTTATACAAAAATAAAGTAAATGAAAGTTACTTCATTTACGATAGCGTAAATATATGTAGGTACGTAAATACATCTGAATTTGTCTACTATATAAATATGTCTTGTATCATAATAATGTCAACAGTAATGTGTTTTTATTTATAAGTTATGAAACCAGTAATTTAATTTATATTATGTCTGATAATACAATAAAATAAATTATACACCTATTCTTATGTTTGCGTTTTATTTACAATATTTAATTATTTATTGGTACCTACAGAAATGTGGAGAATGTATCCACGTATGATGCTTCTAATTTTAGAGTTAGAAATAGTACTAGACTATCTATGTATATCAAGCAGACGTTCCAGTTAAAAGTACCTAGCCATCTAGAATAAAGTTTTAAAATAAATACCTATATACGATTTAGTTTATTTATCTTAGGTACCTACATTAATTTTTGACGCCATATTTCTAGAGGTTTACTTTATTATACCTTCTTATGGTGGCAGGTATTTTGAATAGATGATACGGGAATGTATCCGCCTGCGCTTCCGGTTTACGCTGGCGGGACACTCGTGGATGATCATGAGATCAGATACGATAGGATCTGACCTGTGATCCTGTGAATTTGTCACGATGTGCTCAGGGATCAGCCCATCGTGATAAATTCACCAGAAATTTAAAATAACGTTTTTCAGGGGGAACCTCGTGGAGGTTAACCTGACATGGTATATACAAATTCACCAGAAATTTAATATAACGAATTTTAGGGGGAACCTCGTGGAGGTTAATCTGACATGGTATATACAAATTCACCAGAAATTTAAAATAACGTATTTCAGGGGGAACCTTGTGGAGGTTAACCTGACATGGTATATATTTTGCCTTCATCAGTCCACATTACTAACAATACCCTTTTCCCCCGATGTTAACAGGTTCCACAAATAAACTTCATTTTAGTACTTTTAAATGGGTTTTTAATCTATTGACCTTTGGGGATGAAACAAAAAGATTGAGAGAGAATCATTCCCCGTCCCATCAAAAATATCATTGCTCCTTTAACAAAATTGTTGTACAACTTCATATTCTTAACTAATATATGTGTGAATGTCAACTAGTAATTAGGACTTCGTTGGAGTCATGATATTATACCTATATTACCATTAAATCTATATATCTATACATATAAATAAATTTGGAGTGTCTGTTTGTAATATTGAAATAACCGTTTTTTAATACATGCATATGAATAACACTAAAATATTTTTTTTACAAATTTTGTCTGTCTGTCTATCTGTTTGTACCGGCTAATCTCTAAAATGGCTGCACTGATTTTGACGGGACTTTTATTGGCAGGTAGCTGATGTAATAAGGAGTAACTTAGACTACTTTTATATAAAAAAAAAAGTTTAATCCACGTCGACGAAGTCACGTTTACAGCTAGTATACAGTAATAATAATCCGCGCACCACTAGTTCGAGAGTAGGTAAATACGAAGATTAATTTAGTTATTGAAAGTAGTTCAATAAGATGTCTTGTTCTAATGATAAAAATACCAACTTAATTCCGTCCAAATAAATTAAAAAATTAAAGGGCTTATTGGAATTTATTGGAAACTATCGATACATAGGTATCGATAGTTGTTAGAATATTGTGGGTTTTTGATACGATGTTGTTGTTCGAGACGATGTATATTACAGCTGATAATAGACTGACAATATGTACATTTTTTTGGACTACTCTAATGCTGTTGGCCGCAGCTGACCTTTACAGCTTCACCGGACGTTAGGGGGCGAGTGCAGATGGCACTCCAAGCCCGCGGAAGGACTTATGGAGCGGCTGAAGGCCAACTCCTGCCTGACGGATACGCCTTTAGTCTGAGGGCACCACTAGGGGTTCGAACATCGGCTCAGGCCGTCGTAATTTCCATCCCCGTTTGAATTGGACGGGGGATCGATCGGAGGGGACAATATGTACATAGAAATAATGATCTTATAAATAACAATAGGAAAATGTAAGGTGGGATGACACAGTTTATCGATACATAGGTATCGATAGTTTTCAATTGTTCTCTTCCCAATAAAGCCTGCATAAAAAATTGTGAACCCTAAGAGAACAGTGTTAAGGTCAGTGCGAATGTATAATTCACCAGCACTCACGATCGTTTCCAGGGGAAACTAATTCCAATTAACATAGTATGTACATTTGCAACTCTATGAAATATAATAATTAGGTAACGAGGACATTATTTCTACGAGCATGCTCCTTTATTTATTACATTATCTATATTATGCCTATTTTCTACTAATCACTTATAAAAATTTGTAAAAATTAAACGCAGCTGCAAGGCAATGTTGCCAATTCGAAAAATATTTAAGCTGTCAATTCTGTTTGACAGTGACTTTAGCAGTCATTCTGTCAGTCATATCATCACCAAAGTATGGATAATTGTAATGTGAACATTCAGCCAGCCCACAGTCTCAAACTTTGAATCGACTACAATAATTAAATAAATACAATGTTATTTCATTAATGTTAATGTTAATTAAAATAAAAACAGTATATTATAAGCTTTACTTGTTTATAATTTCGGTAGTGTTAAAATCATAATGCGTAAATAAACAGAAGTGACGACTTGGACAATACCATAAAAGAATAAAAATGTGTTGTTTCCTTTGATAGCAGTGGTCTCGTTAAAATAAAATCATGTTTAGGAGTCGGAGCTGGTTTGGTGGTGGATGGGGACGGCCCAAGAATCCCCATTCGTTGGAGAGATTAAAATATTTACATAACATTCTGTGTAAAAACACGACAGTTTCCGAGAGTAATCGAGGTACATTAGTGGAATCCCTGAGGTGTATAGCTGAGATATTAATATGGGGAGATCAGAACGACAGTTCAGTATTTGAGTAAGTATCAGCTTATTGTTATTTTAATTAGTAGGTTTGTTGGTATCTTGGATACAAGATTGACGTTATGTGTCCTTGGTTTTATTTTACGATACATGTTTATTACCATTGTTATAGCTCTTTGTTAGATGTATCCAATATTTACTGATATTATATTGTCCAAGTGCTAATTAAATATTGTCCACTAATGATGTACTTTTATTGTTTACTAGCTGTACCCGCCTTCGTCCGCATGGAATTTGTCTTTATTTTCTAAAATAAAAGTAGCCTTATTACAATAAAGTTTTTCCTTATATACCTGCCAAAGAAAAGACCCGTCAAAATCCATCCAGCCATTTCAGATATTACCCAAAACAAACAGGCAGACTGACAAACAATTGTAAAAAATGTTATTTTGGTGTATGTACCACATTTATATTCTTACACATGTGGTATAAAATAATATTTCAATTTTACAAATAGACACGGTTTTTGATTAAAATGCTTCCTGAAATATGTCCCCCACTCGAGGTATATACTATAGCAAAGGAAAGTTGTATACCACAGTACAAATTTTCAGTGGAGCCACCAGACATTGCAACAACATGTCTTACAAATCATAAATCTTAATACACTAAACTTCACTATATTACGCACAATATTATCATAATCTTTAATTTATGATGCTTTTTTTACAAATATCAAATTTAATTACAGCTTCTTCTTGGAGAAGAATATGCTATCATACTTCTTGAGGATAATGAGACAGAAGTGTGGTGGCTCATCTTTTGTATGTGTGCAACTGTTGCAGACATTAAACATACTGTTTGAAAATATCAGGAATGAAACATCACTTTGTAAGTTGCCAGTGTAAAATATCAAGCAATTTTTTTACAGCCCTGGTGGTCTAGCAGTTTAGTGTACCATTTCAATTTTAATGATCACAGGTTCGATTCCTCGCACAGAGCATACAATTGTATTCTTGTGTATGATTAATTATATTGGTCTGGATGTTTTCCATATATAGTATGTAAGTATTTAGAAAAAAAAATAACTAAGTATGTATTTATATATTAGTCATCTACCCATAGCTCTGCCTACCTTGGGAATAGATTGGGCTGTGTTAATTGTTCAGGGTTATTTAATGATTTAATTTATACCCTTTTCAATTAAAAACAAGTCACATTTAATAGGGTACTTGAGTATTTTGTTTGAATGATGAAATGCTAGGTGTGTATTAACAATTTTGACTTAAGTATGAAATTGTACATTTTTATTACATGTATAATTTGTTTATACTAAGTATTTGAGAGTCAGTAAAATAAGTTTTTTACTCTACATTAAAAAAGAAACTTCGCCTTATTTTTCTAAATCATTAAAGGTCAGCAAAATATATTTTTTACTTCATAAAAAGATGTTTGGTTTCAAAATCTGCCTGATGTAATAATAGTTTTGTTATTTATTATTTACTATTAGTAAAAAATCATTTAAGTATATTAAAACTTATTATTACTTAATTTTAATTAAACAGACAATAAAAATAGTAATAATGTATAATATCTTCCTTGTACATTAATAATCATGTAAGCTATTCTTGTAATACATAACAAAATTATAATTTTGGTGTGGCTTTTCATTACTACATACTTACAATGATGCTTTACTTTCAGATTATCTACTGAGTAACAATCATGTTAATTCAATAATTGTGCACAAGTTTGATTTCTCTGATGAAGAAGTTATGGCTTACTATATATCGTTTTTGAAAACTTTAAGCCTTAAACTGAACAATCATACAATACATTTCTTCTACAATGAGGTAAATTGTCTATACTAATCTTACTAAACACATTTTCGTCTTTTCTTTTGAGTACCTACTATTATTGTACTCAGAACTAATCCAAAAATGTTTCTGAATAGCTCTAATTGAGAATTGAACTCACAATTACTTATACACAATATACAAGAGATAGCTGAAAACCCATATTTCTTCTAGATATAGTTCTATTTTTGTTATGTATAATATGATAAAGGAATTATGCAACCATCTGTACTAAAGATGTAAAAATATATGTTGAAGCTCCAGTAAACAATAATTATTATATAGCATAAAGTCAGGTCAATATACAAACTTAATTAATTCACCAAGAATTTACCACAATGGTTTCAATGGGACACTACATGGAAATTGACCTAACATGTTACTTTTCTAGCAATGGGCTTACTAGACTAGCAGTCCTCATTACTAATAAGCTCCTCCACCAATATAGCACTAATAAGTATGCAAGGTTTGAGTTCTTCTGGCCTCAAAATTACGTTTCTAACTGATGGTAGATTTTACTTATTATAAGTGTCTATAATAGAGTTTAATAGACTTACATGACAACATATGTCTTATTTTGATTTTGATAATCTTACTGGGAATATGAAAGGATTAAGAAAACAAAAAGCAAATAATATTGCCATCTATAAATAGAATGTAATACAAAAATTACAATAAGATGTCTGTAATTGCAATTTTTTCCAGCACACAAAAGACTTTCCTCTCTACACTGAGGCAATAAAATTCTTCAACCACACAGAATCAATGGTTCGCATTGCAGTCAGGACGCTGACTCTCAATGTGTACAGAGTGCAGGATGCAAGCATGTTGCGGTTTATTAGGGACAGGTAATGTTGCTTTAATTGGTTAATTAGCTGTGGTTTCAACTTTATTCTTTCTGCATGTAGCAATGCAATTAATATATTCATCTGGCCAAATCATACTGGCCAGCTAGTATTTGAATCTATTCATTCATGTTATCATCTCTACTAATATTATAAATGACAAAGTTTATCTCACTTGATAAATAAATGGCTGTACAAAAATTAATTAAATTTTATGTAAAGATAGTGTGGCAGGACACCAGTGTAGGATAATAAGATTAATATAAGGTAAGGTAAGTAACCAGGAATTTATTATGATGGTTTCCAGTGGGGACCGCATGGAGTTCAATCTGACATGATACATTGCTAGCAATGGGGACAATACTCCCCATTACTAATGAGTCCCATTTCCATACGTAAAGATAATTTGTATCATGTGAATGGGCATAGGCTATTGTTTATATCAGAAAACAGACGAAGTTGTATGTAATATTTATTTCAAACAATAATATTGTTAGTAATGATAAAATACATTAAAAGACTATTATAATTAGTTCATTAAGCCTATTCTATTTACAGATATGCCTATTTGTATTATAAATAGTTATATAACTAATTCTTTACATATTACTAATACTATCTATTTGTTTATATGATGTTTTAAATTTATATAAGCTAATTATCAACTTGCTAATTGTTCTCAGAACTGCGGCGCCGTACTTCAGTAATTTGGTCTGGTTTATCGGTAAACACATATTGGAATTGGACGCGTGTGTCAGAAATGATGCTGAGTAAGTCATTATATATAATTATCTGTGATAATTGTCATTCAATAACACGTTCACTGGGGTTGGTACTTAGCAATTAGTAATTATAAACAACATTTACACTACTTGTTTTGAAATTTTTTATGTTAAGTTTCACAGCTTCACCCTCTATTTTAGGCTTATTATGCTGAGAAGGTAGAATATTTAAGTGAACTCCATTAAAATATTAAAACTAATTTGATACTTGTGGTCTATTATTTAAATTTATATTTAGAAACCCTTATGACTACATAGCGTTTTATTCAAACTGTTGTACTATAGAGCTATACTTATGTATTGCCAACGAGTTTTGGAAACAACGGATTTATATTATTCTAATTTGTTTAAGCAACTACCTGTAAAATTTGTCACTAAACTTTGTTTACAATGTTATTTCAATATGTACTATTTTTTTAGCCATCAGTCTCAACAAAAATTGGATGACTTAGTTGCCGAACACTTGGACCATTTACACTATATAAATGACATCCTTTGTCTCAACATTCCTGACTTAAATGATGTTCTAACAGAGCATCTACTTCACAAACTTCTTGTACCTCTCTATATATACTCCTTAACATCTGATTCTGTAAGAAAAATTGCAAGTACCACACAGTATAATAGAGATCATATACAGAGTATAGAAGTTATAACTAGAAATCTGGAAGCGATACTGAAAGGGAAAAATACAGAAGTCTCCCCAGGGAGAATAAATTTTCCAAGAAGAATGGAGTCGGAAGAGGAGAATAAACCTTCGGTCTCTTGTGTAGTCTCTCTATTTCTTTTATCTCAAGTGTTTCTAATAATAACGCATGGTCCAATAGTCCACGCATTGGCCTGGATCATTTTACAGTCAGATTTATCAGTATTTGAAGATGGTGCTACTAAAATACTAGAAATGTACATTAGTAATGCAAAATCGAATGTTAAGTTAGAGTTTTCGAAACCGCAGTTGAGTCTCGAAAAAGCTTTAGAGAGTACATCTGGTCATGACAGAGATTATACCACGCCAGACTACAGCGGTCCTAAAGCATTTGGTTACGATACAGACCATTCCAGTTGTGATCTCGATCCAGAATTAGTGTCTACGTCCTTGCCGTCCACTTCACAAATGAGTGAATCCTCTAGTATTGCACACGATTCCACTGAAGATTTAGTTACACAAATACACACCCTGAAATCTAATGTGTTAGTGTCGCCAAAAGAAAACATGCCAGATTCACCGTTACCTGAATCCGAAATTGATTCAAATGCAAAAAAACCATCTTCGGATCTGAATAATATAACGGATGAAGAGAAACAGAAGTTACTTGGTGCTACGCCTACCACGTCTAGAGAAAGGACTTTGGCATTAGATAGTATATTGGAGAGAGAAAATAAAGAGATAGAAAAGCGGCCGTTTTTGAAGACTATACTAGATTCATTAGACTGTAGTGAGAACGATTATAAAGCGCTATTTGCTCTGTGCTTATTGTTTGCATTGATTAATAATAAAGGTTAGTCTATTGATAATTTAATTTAGATTTTTTATAAAAAATAGGACTGTATAAATAATTTCGTTTTTAGATCTCATTATTAATTGCTTATAATACTAATAGTACTCATTATTAAATTCATACCAATATTTATTTTTTACTCTAAAAAGTAAATATTACAATTTTTTTTATTTATAATACTAATACTGATTTTTGTTTGTTTTGGCTCACCTCGGTCTTTAGTGGGTAAGATATTACTTGATTAATTAAATAATTCAATTAAATGTTTCAACGATTTTTATTAATATTCTTATTTTTATTTCAGGTGTGAATACAGAGTTGTTAGATACACTTCTGTGTCCGGAACCTGAGATTGTTGGTGCTATACCCAGTAGTTCAAGCTTAGAGACTGAGACGACATCTAATGAGAGCAGAGAACAAACACCAACACTTGGTGTGAGATGTTCGATGCAAAGTTTCAATACTTTGCTAATTTCTAAATTAATGACGATTGCTTATTCGAGCTGTAAGCCTGGTAAGTAATTTAACTATGACATAAAAAGTGTGAATACGCTACAGTTTTTTCACATTAAATAGTATTAAATATCTACTGTAACCGTTGTCAGACTACAATGCGCCGAGTATAATATATGCATATTGTTAACGTGAATAAATAATATGTTTTTTTGTGAAGATATTATACTATATTATTGGTTTCACTAGAACATTTATTGTAAACAACGCGTTTTGCTATTTCTTGTAAACCATTCTTATTGTTATCAATTTATTTAAAGCCACGATTAAATGACACTATATGATTAGTATAATATTTGTCGTATGTATTGGTTTTGTCTAGTATTTTTTTTAATGTTGGTCTTTTTACCAGATGGAATAGTATACCCCATTGCACTAACGGTATATGCATCAATAGAAGATAATAGAACGAAGATAAAGTTAGGCCAACTATCTAATCGTAGCGTATTTACTTGTAATGATGACCGTGATGGTGATCATACATTACATTGTTAGCAATGGGACCTCTAGACCCTTTACTAATTACCACTGATTCCCTCCCTACGATGTATGAAGGACTAGAATATATAACATGATCGCCTTTTCCAGCGTCCAAAGTCCGGCTAGTAACGTTGGAGTTGAGCGTTACGCTAATGCGTATAGCGATGCAAGGCGCTTCCGGAGTGGCCGGGGCTCGCCACTTATCCGCAGCAGACACACTGCGAGCCCGCGCCGCATCGCTCGCGAGGAACTTCTACAAGTGTGATGACATATTCCTCGATATGTTTGAAGATGAGTAAGTATTCATAAGATCACAATCTCTAACTATCCTAATTATCTGGATGAATGGCGGTCCTCCACCATGCGTTCGTTTTCCAGAATTTTTTTGCCTCGCACAACCACATTGTGGTTGCCTTTCAGCAGTGGTATTTCCAGACAGATACGATATTGAAACCTTGAAGAAAATAACTTATTTCTTCTTAAAAGGCTGAGAACGCACTTGCACTTCCCCTTGTGGTGCGGGTGCTCATGGGCGGCGGTAATCACTTACTATCAGGTGAGCCGTAAGCTCGTTTGTCCTCTATGCTATAAAAAATGAGGGAAATTTTAAGTAGGAAATTTAAATTTTTATCAGGATGTGGCGCTAAGTCCAATAGACTCATTAGTGGCTTATTAACTGTTAAGTACGACATTTTTTTTTTCTAATTCAATGTGTCCTTTTATTTATAATATTATTGTAGGTACAATAAAGTATTACAAACAAACAAACATTGTGTCATCCAGTTATTAATGTATTTAAAATTAATGACTTTTCATTTCAGGTATTGTGAAATGAGCAAGCGTCCACTGAACGTAGAATGGCTGTGTATGGACGCAGCAATATTATTACCACCTACCCGAACGCCCATGTCGGGTATAGCTTTTGCTAAACGGCTGCCTAGTGGGGAAGTGAGTATTAGTTAATCGTATATACTATGATTATATTTTAACCTCCGTTTTATATTTTTCGTACTATTTATGGTAAACAAGCTGTTGGTTCATATGATATAATTTATGAGCAATATTACCTAATAAGTGTGCTGATACCGTGATATTCAGTAGTCAAATGTATGAGTACATATTATAGGTTATACCTATTAGTTTGGATATCATAATAGGAGGAGGAAGATTTGAGTGTTTGTTTGTAATGGATAAATTATAAAATTAATTAACAATTCATAATTCATAATTTTAACATTAACAAGTTTATTATTTAAAAATAAAAAAAACATTCGATACCATTTCTGTGCGAAACCGGGGCTAAGCGCTAGTTTCATATAAGTATATTGCCTTTTGTTTTCTGTGACAGATGGAAAGGGCTAGAAGAGCAATTAGAACTTTCTTTCTAATACGAGACCTATATTTGAAGTTGACTGGAAAATCTGAGACGCAACTTCCTCTGACTAACCCGGCGCCATTTGTTCAAGTTGGAGATGTTTTAGATCTTAGTAAGTTAATTAAATAATTAGGGTATGCTTTTGTGTTCTTGTTCAGACTTACCTTTGTCTAAAAGAGTATGTGACGCAATTAGCTTATACGTGTGTATGTGTTTATGACGACGTACGCAGTAGGTTACATAGTAGTAGGTACAATACGGTAATCGTCAACAATTAAATTCGTCATGAACTCACCAATTTTTGAATAAACATTCCACGGATTATTGGGTTTCATTATATTATTTTAACGTTACTAAGTAATGGGTGATAATTACATTCACACTTTGCATCAATATGTTTTTTATTGACTTTTTGGCGAGTCGTACATCTCAAGACACCTTTTCAGAGACACCAAGGACTCTGACTTTTTTTTTAACTTCAAATATCTTTTTCTTCTGATTGTTTTCTAACATCACGAGAAAGTAACATCGTTACCTATTTACTATTGTTTATGTGTGTGTTTTTTTAATATATGTTGTATGTGGTTAGTAGGTATACGAAATGTGTTAAACTAAGTCTTTTCTGTTCTACCTTTGCAGATGATTCAGATCTTATATCATGTGACATAATACAGAAGGACGGCACTTGGCAACACAGGTTCTTAGCTGTGGACAATATACAGATAATATTGGTAGAACCAGACAAACAAAGGTTGGGTTGGGGCGTAGCGAAGTTAGTTGGCAGCCTGCAGGACCTAGAAGTAAGCTTCTTTCCTCCTTTAATTATTAAAGCTTGACTCAATAACAGGAGTAATAAAAGTTTGACTGGCATCGCTGCACCTAATGAATTTTAAGATAATGTTGCAGTTTATTTTCTTTTAAAATTCTGACGTGATCTATTTGGTATAAATTATTACAATATTTTTTTTTATTGTCAGGGGTTAATTTTTTTTATATTGGCCGCTTTTTATAAAGACCTTTAGAATCATATTATTTTTTACAGTACATATTCTATTATTATTGCCAGAATGTTAATTATGACGGTAGTTTATTTTGTAGATATGAACTGAATTTAAAGTAAATTTCGAATATAATACAATCTCTGAAACGGAAATTCCTGGAAAATATTTTTTATTATATTTAAATGTAGGTACATATTGCGAGACTGCACTATTCAGTGTTTTAGATGATCAGTCATAATTGATTTAGATACAAGGCGATAAAGAAGATCCTCGCTGCCTCCATCTAACAATTCACAAGCCTCGTGTGGGCGCCAGTGGTGCCCTGCCACGGACAGTATTACTTCGCGCCAAGTTCAAATTCGACGATCACATTCGTAGTATGGCGGCGAAACAGAGATTGACAAAAGTAAGAAAATTTTGATGATTCTGAATACCATAATCTAAAAGTATTATATTTTCTAATTAGTTATGTGGCCCCATTCTAGGCAAAGGCCCTTATCTTCTCTTTTTAATTATCTCTGTTGAGTAAAATCTTAAACTATACAATTTTAATGTATACTGTAGTATGGGAGCAATATACCAATTTTCCTCAGGAGTGAATAGTATGTTTAAGCATACTTTATTAGTAAACTAGTCACTGTTTTATGGAACTTACTCCTTTTTTTAATTTCTTAACAAAATCTAAATAAATAAGTTGTGTTTATAACATCAAATATAACAACATCTCAGTGCAGTTCACACAGCGCCATCTAGTCCTAAGCTAATCAGAGTTGGTCTTATGGATACTAGATAACTGATACAAATATATGAATTCATTTTTTTTATGAATATACTGAGAAAACACCCAGACCTTTAGAAACAATCTTAATCATGAATACAACCGTTTATACATTGCGAGGATCGAATCCGCGACCATCGGAAGTAAGGCCGTGTGCCTTATTATAAAACTTCAAATATATATATATAGTCTATACAACTAAATGACATGTAGTCTTATAAGGAACTGCTTCCTATGTAATGTCTCTTAAAACAATGTAAATATACTGTATTATATATAAAACACAGTAAATTTATGTACAGTATATTTGGAGATATAAATTGAAAGATTTTTGCCGTACAATCCTGTACAAAGTATAACAGAAATCTGGTCGCTGAAATGAAGCTAAAATTCAAGGGTCGCACGAAGTCTCGCCAGAAGAAGATGCAGCAGATCGGACGGCTGCTGGAGGTGTCGGGCGTGTCCGCGCCGGCGATGGCCCCGCGGCATCGCCCGCTGTTCTCTCGCCCCGGACTCACCGCCGTCCGACGGTCCACGGGTAACTAACACACACACACACACACACACACACACACACACACACACACACACACACACACACACACACACACACACACACACACACACGCACACGCACACGCACACGCACACGCACACGCACACGCACACGCACACGCACACGCACACGCACACGCACACGCACACACACACATACACACACACACAGAGGAGCTTACACTTATAATGTGGAAAGGGCTACCCGCCGAGGTTTTCACAAGAGAAGGGTATATAAAGGTACTAAGGGTCGCCCACGTGCACGTGACATCTTGGGTTTCGAAAAGTCCATAGTCTACGGTAACCATTTATCATTAGGTGAGCCGTACGCTTGTTTGCCAGTAACGTACTATAAAGAAAGCATCGACCATTTAATAGAAATAATCTTTATTCATTAAACTTCATTAAACACACTCTTGAATAGTCATATTTTCGGAACGCAGACTCATTATAAACAGAACGAGCAATAACCTTGTGTGTTGCTCTTTTGAGTAAATGTTTGTATTTTAAATAAGTAAATACAATAACAAGTAGAAGCATGCTATAATTAAAAATAAAAATCGCTACGCAATTTATTTTTAGTGCAATCAGATAATATTGTCAGCGCTATGAATTTAACATTTTTTGTACAAAAATATTATTATCATTTACACACTCTTCAATCTTATAATAAGCTTTTTTTTATTAAAAAAATACTTTTCGTGTTTGTTGCTCTTGTGTTCTTGTTATTCTACTGGTCTGATATACATAACTTAAATGCAGCGGTGACACCGTCCATTATGCATATTCTTATTCAGTAATCACAAGTAGATTATGAATTAGTAAATAATTAAATTTTTTTCTTAAATAGGTGGAGAAGGTGATGATACAGAGCGAAGGCTGCGTAGACCGAGCGCACACATGCTAAAAGATGGCATTGTGGTTTATAGAGAACGCACCACAAGTCGAGAAAGGTTAGTACTAGCTTTTCTTATTGCCTAGACAATGTTATGACAAACATAATGGTGTATATTGAACATTTCATCATTGTCTTATACTGAATAATAAGATATTCTTTTAACTTTCGATTTTTCTATTATGTAATATATATACAAGTAATATAGGACATCTCAGGTTTGTTTATATTTTATGACTAGTACAGAATTCGTTAATAATATAAAAAAGCTTTGGAATCTTCTTCTACAGAGTTCTACCTTGGTCCATTCCAACAATTGATTTAAGTAATAAGGTGTTCGCAGTTATGGATTCTCTGAAAAGGTTACGTAATTCCTAAGTATTGCTAACATAATTAGCTATTGTTACGTTCTAAGTTCGGTCACACATTCTGTTCTGTCCGACATAAGCGACACTGTTCCTATTGGCGCATTTCTAAGGAGGGCGGGGCGTAGAAACCAAATGCGCCAATCGAATGGCAGTCCTATAGAGCAATCAACCTACTGAACCGAATGTGTAACTGAACAAAGTCTTGTCCTGCTCTTTTTGTTCTTAAATACTTTATTTTTATGCATAATTTCATATCATCCATGGTGATAAGATAATCATCTTTCTTATAGTTAAATTGGTGGTCATTTCGACTAGTTCCATCCGCATTCTATATGATACTTCATTATTAATACTATTATAATCCTAACGTGAATAATATTGCTGTTGATACGCTATTTTCCTACTTAACAATATTTGTCTATAAAATATGTATTATGGTAGACTATTATAGTGAGACCGTATTTTGGATCCCACAGATAAAGGTAGATAAACATACATTCGACTTAGTTCGTGAAATTTGTACATAAAATGCACAACATTGACGTCTCTATAATAGTAAGGTCGTTACGAAATTAACTACATATATATTATGTTATGCAGACTTTGTGCACAGTTCTCTGCATTTTGAACGTTTGTTGCCAAACTCTTGTTTTTAAGGCTAGCTAGCCTTAAAAACTGCGTTTCGGGACATCTTATTCCTTCGAAATGGTAGCACACGAGGGACAACATAGAGGTGTCACAGGATAGACGAGGTTTTGTTTACTTACCACTCATCATGTGCCCTAAGCTTGTTTATATTATTTGAAATGTAGGTTCGCAAATACTGGACGTATATTCATGTGTTTTCTTGCAATCGATAGGATTACCCTCAGCTTAACTTTGTGGTCGTGTTGGCTTTTCTGGACTGGCAGTCTCTATAAATTGCTTTCATAATTGGTGGTTGAGTCATTTTGTGTATAATATTGTTTAAGAAAAATTTATGTCATGTATTAAAGTATTAATAGTGTCAATAAAACTATGCTTTTTAACAATAGTTTTATTCTCTCTTATATGTGATGGTATACTTAAGTAGATTTTTTAAGGAGTCGTCTGCATTGCTGTTCACCTATTTCAGCTGCCAGTGCAGCTTACTTTGTAAGCAATGTGTCGTTTGAGGGCTGACATATAGCAGTGAGATTTCAGGCATATGTAACCATGTTTCTCTAGAGATATGGGGTTTACAAGAAGGGTATATAGTTTCTTAAGAGTCAGCAAAGTGCTCTCCTGATGATTCAGGCGTTCATAGGCTGCGGTGACCGCTGTCATCAGAGGGTCCGTGAGATCGTTTGCCACTGCCGTGATATAAAAAAACCTTAGTCGTGGGTAATGACAATACATTTATGATAACGTGGTACAACTTACCATCAGGCAGTCAGCTCGTTTGCGCCAGTTACATACAAAATCTTCCTTGAAAATATTAAGACACGTATCACTATTCCTTTCTATCCCTAAGATGCTGTAAGTGGATGAAAGGTATTTGGGATGAAAAAGGACAGTAAGATATTATTTATATTATTGGTATACAGAGAGCTAAAAGATGGATAGACAATGTGAAAGATGATAAGAAAAAAAGGGACTAAATTACGAGACTGCGAACAGGGATGAATGAAAGAGAAAAACGTATTACATCGACTCCAAATTATATAACTACACTACTACAATTATATATATGGGATAAGGAAGAAACAGATGAGAGAGAGTTCTGTAGCCCCAATATTTATATGTAATTTAAGTTGAATTATTTTTATTAATATTACAGCAGTGTATCCCGCAATAGTAGCGCCCACGCGTCAAGGGAAAGTTCTCCTAGGTCGCGCTCTGAAGATATACCCCTCGAAGACATCAGGAGGAGTAGTAATGTGGTGACGAAGAATGAACCCATCGCTCCTGTTATACAAGCGGTTAGTTCACATACGAGTTCAATGAGAATGCAATAGACATACTCGCATGTTTTTGTTTATTGTGTAAGGATAAAAACACAAATAAAAAGATGTACTGCAATTAATTTTAATTCAATAGATTTTTTTGTGAAGAATGTGGAATTTAACGGCTATACCAACATGGTAGAATAATATAATTTAGAATCATATTAATATATTTCCTAGACTGCTTTATCAATATTCATTATTATATGTAAATTATTAATATCTGATCACAATGTATCGATCTTCTACCATATAACCCATTCAAGTTTTATTTGGAGTTGTCTTTCTCTTGCAAAGGTGTGTTGTATTTTTTCCCTTTATAGGCTCATATGATACCCTGATTATTAATACGTAAAAAAGTAGAATGTTATAAAAATTTATATGTACATTTGATACTTTCAGAGCCAGCCGAGTACATCATCACAGATCCCAAAGCCAGTAAATTCCTCTGAAGAGACTTCTTTTATATCAGCGGATGCACCGCGATCGAAGCGCAAGGGGCTTGTCGAGACCATTTGATATTAGCTACAATATAAATGACTATAGAAATAAACATCTTAAATCCTGTTACAGTGAGTTGAATTTACAGTATCAATTAACATTTCAAACTTGGTTCGGACAATGGTCATTGATGATTCTGTATTAAAAATATTTTATGCAGAAATGAAAATGATAAGAATCTATCAAAATATACGTGTATTATTGACTAATAATAAAAACCATTTCAATTGTAATTACGTTTAACAAGGATAATAATGTTGTCGTCGTCATCGAGCGCTCTGTCTCTTTCCATAAGAGGATATTTTCATAGTCATCCCACCTACATTTGACGCCATTTTAAATTTTAAAAAACTCATATTCGAATAATTTTCGTAGGTGCACTGATATTATCCCTTTATGAATACCGCACTCTAAAACGTGAAGAATATAATTAACAATTCTGAACACAGTGCCATCAAAATAATAAGTATTTCACAAAAAAATATATCATACAATAGTCATATAAAAAAAACTACTAATAAAAAACAAATAAATATTTTATTCCTTATTTTAACTTTTCTTGGATGTTGACTCATCGTGTGAAGTGTTTAAAAATGAATTGCATATGTAACCTTATTTTGTATCATCGTGGGAACCCAAATAGATTTTATAGAAAAAAAAATGGTAACAAAAAACATTCGCTTCTTTTTTCGACTCTTAAAAGAGGAAAATTTAAATAAAGAACTATATTTTAAAAACCGCAGTTATGTTTATAGTTCATAAAAATGTGTACGTTAATCTTTTTATGGAGTACCTTTTTAAACATCACCTATATATAGTATGAGGCCCTACTGCGTAACATCATATTAAATCAGTGTTTCCCAACGTGAGATTCACGCTCCAGAGGGTGGCAATTTGATTGTTAAGAGGGCCATTCCATTCCATTCGAAAATAAACTTTATTAAAATTATGTGGGAGGTGAATTTCAATTTTTCCTTATATCATTGAAGATTTTCTTACTGTTTCATTAACAATTTCCTAGTGATTTCGTCCTAAATCCAATTTTTTTTATTTAAGTGAAGAATTCAATTTTGTAATGTTATAAATTATGTGTGTTACATTATATTATATCAGTAAAAATATTGGGAAGCACTGTATTAGATAGTCCTTTTAGTTTAAATTGTAGATAATGTATAGTTAACGAAAGTATAATTTATAAAGGTGTATTTTTGTAACTGAATGATATCGATCTCTCGTTACGTCCGTATATTTCTGTATGTGATAAATATTTGTAATATAGATAGAATATTTTAGGCGATTTCATACGAATCATAATTACTATTAGTTTATTGTCTTATTCGCTCTCATGTTGCAATCAGAATGCGACATACTTAGTGTAATCTTATTAAATTGGAACCATAGATGGCACAGTATATCGTCGCTGTATATGGATACGTGGATATACTGTGTTATATCTATCTATCTATCTCTATAAATGTATGCCACTACCTTTTTGAGAAAAGACACACGAAAACTTACCGTATTCCAAAAGGTTTAATCGTTTTTTTTATAACTAAATGAGTATTAAACAAATTTAATTTTGAGTTTTTAGTAAAAAGTACAATTGCATGTACACATGTTTAAATACTCAAACGCTTTTTTAGTCAAGTCACGTTTTATATATTGCAGACAACTGGCACCTATTCTACCCAGTCTCACACCCATGTGAGAAAGATATTAGAATCTTTATTTTGCTATTTTCTCATCTTTCCTCTCTGTATCCCACATGGTGGTGGGGTCAGCTTTCCTTGTTTTTCTCCGCCACTTTACCCTGTCCCAATCGTCGCAACCATCGCCTTCAACCTCACACGCGTATATATATTTAAAATAATGACATACAAAGAGAGCAAAGTGTAAATAGATCCATGTAATGTTTTTAAGTGATAGAAATGCAATTCGTCTGAAATCGCCTTTTTTGTAACCGAGTCTGCGATTTTTTCTATATTAACTATATTATTTTAATTTAATATATATCATAGTTACATTTTTATTTTTCTATAAACAGTAGTTGTACGTTTTATTTTATAATACACGCAGACGTCTATGTATATAGTAAAATAATGTTTATTGTAATATACTGGTAATTTGGTATCATATTAATTAGATTAATTTTTAAACTTGAGTATTTTATTTAATTTTAACAATGTATTAGTTATAATTTATTTCATTGACTCGTTACATAAGCACATGACTATAGTTACGTATTAATGGTGCGTACAATATCTCATAAATGTAAACATTAAAAAACTATTACTACTAAATATAATATATGTTGGAAAATTCTAAATAGTATGGACAGAAACTATTCTATCATTCGGAATAACCCAGCTCAGCTATAGATAACACAAAATATAATTAGTACTCTCATATCATATTAAAATGTTTAAATACCGATTTTATTAGAAACACTATAGGTATATATTACAATGACGGGTAGTATAATTTTTACATTTATTTTTTTACATGTATTAAATGCTTGCTGACGACAATAGACCTATATGAAGTGGTCTGCATAATAAATGAATGAATATTAGTTGCGCTAACTGTTATGTTGTGATTTTATTTAAGGTTTGCAATAATTGATGTAATTTTGTTTAGAGACATATTGTAGTTGAAATGGAATATATAAAATGTTACATTTATTCATACTGTTGTGTTTTTTATTACAATCCACCAACTGAAATAAGTATTGTTGATTATTGTAAAGGAAAGTACCGGGATTCCTTTCACATGAGCCGTTAATATTATTCCCTTATTATACAATATCTAATCTCATAATAAGAAGGAAATAAATGTTTTTTTTTTTTATTTTATAGTGTACAAAACTATAAGAGGGATTTGAAATTCTTATTTTCTATATATTTAATTCTCCTTTGTAATTCTTGTATCATTAGAATTCTACATTATCCTGTATAAACTTAAAGATAGAATATCTTTAAAAACGTTAAGACTTCACAGGAAAACTTCGATAATATAACGCAACGTGTGACACAAATTCATAAACTCAAATAAAATCCTTATAATACGTACGCTGAGGAAATTATTGACAGTAGACCAAAGTTTGTATAGTTTCATAGAGAAAATGAATATGCGAGTGTGTTAAAATTTTAGAATTTTTTGTAGAATACTCGTGCGAAGCCGGAGCTAGCCGCTAGTGTCTAATAAACGGGGCGTATCATCATCGTATAGCAGTAATAGCATTGAGTTGAAGCAGTTTTTGATTCCGTCTAATTCTATATTTCAAACAAACGATTGGAATTATTATTGCTATTTATTTACGCATGTAGTTATGCGTAAATATATTTTACTTGCGAATCACGAATTTTACCTTTCCGTGTTTGGTAACGGGTAGTATGCAACCTATGTAATGTAAAAAATCGACGTAAAGGTTATAAATTGTACAGACCTTATAGGGAGTTTATTATACTGAAATGGCAAACAGCTGACGGCCTACCGGATGGAAAGTAGAAACCGTCTTTTTAAGTTCGTCTTAATAATGTTATGGTGCACTCACCTGCGCCAACGATATACGTTGCCTGGACGCCAGTGGAGGATGACAAGATGAGTATGAGGTAAGGTCGGTTAGCTCATCATGGCAAATTCGCCAGGAATTCAACATAATAATTTTCAGAGGGGACTGTGTGAAGGTTAACAGGACATGGTACATTGCCAGCAATGGAGTTATTAATCCACATTACTAACAATCCCCTTCCCACCAAGTAGAAACCGTCGCGATACGTGAACAGGACCACTGGAAATACGTTGAATGTGATTCCCGGAGTACTATAACGCGGTACTAGTCATGACGCTAAGATGCTGGTGTTAAATAAAACATTGTTGTCAACTATATTTTCCTTCTAATTTATTTGATTAATCATCTGCTCTCTATACACATGATATGCACCAATGCCTATAAATAATACAAACGATTAGTAATGAACAATATATGGTATGACGTAAACTAATTATTTACACAAACACAATAAATCGATCAACATTACGTTCCATTGCTCTTTATCATTATGTAGGTATATATTGTAAATCTATTCATATCGTTTAGTAACTTCTTTGAGCGCTACGACATTAAATTTATTATATATTTCAAAATTAAATACAAACTTAAATATATTTAATATTTCGTTCAACATTTTTAAACAACATTTAAATCACAGTGATCATTATATCCAATTTGCTTATTTGCACCTTATTAGGTACATTTCTAAAATGAAGAGACACATTTTTATATATTTTTTACAGTACAGTTTTGAAGACATCGCATAATAAAATACCGGATGACTTGTTTTGCCGTTTGGAGATAGTTTACGTGGCATAGGTATGCTAGAATTAGAATTACAATCAATAAACGATTTGAGTTTTTTCTGAAATTACAGTAGCTACCAGTAGACAAAACGCTCTAAATTGTGTACAGCCTGACAAACGTATCTTCCTACTCCGCGCTCAAAAGTGGGTTTTGTTATAACGAGCAGGAAGACTTGAGAAATAAATATGAGAGTATATCATATTTTTGATTAATTGTGAAATAATATTATAGTCAAAAATATTTTTAACAGTACACTTTCTAAATAATTATTTGAATAAATAAAGTAACATATATATATTTGTTATTATTAATCCAATTGCCTTATTCTCCTTTTTTCTGAACGATAAACAAAGTCATCTGATATATATAAATCGCCAACTTTAATTAAAAAGGTCGTAGCGTCATAGTCGACTCTTAAATAAAGTAATAAACTTACCGCCCTTAAAACGCACCTAAAGCTTTCATTTCAAATCTAAATACCGCATCACTAGCCATTAAAATTCAATACAGACAAAGTAGGATTTATAGATAGAAATTATTTCTTAGCTTACATAATACTATAACCGAGACAAAGTAACAATTCGTTATGTAATTTTTCGGCATAAAATTTATACAATAAAATATAGCACTTAAAAACACACATATTTTGCTAGAAGCAACTTACATATACATACATAAAACATGATAGTTTCAAAGTGAAGATATCCAGCCAGAAAAAAACATTGTATCCAGTGAAAACAAT